ATGATTAGTATTTTTTGCTGAAATCCCAAATCCCAAATCCCAAATACTAGTAATTTGGGATTTGGGCAACACGTATAATACCTATATATATTGAAAAATCAAAGATTCAAAATTCTATATTATTCAATATATTAATCAAGATTCTTGCTTTCAAAAATCAAGAGCAAAGTAAAAACACTTATGTATTCAAAAATTTTAAGTCAGAGATAGAAGAAAAAATAATGGACATTCTACAACTGAAAAAATAAAGCTAAGAGTATGGCTAAATATATGTATAAAATTTAAAATGATAATATAAAACCAAGACAATTTCTTGATACAAATTCTGAAGATGAAATAGAATCTATACTTAGTAAACAGCAAGGATATTCATTTCACAAATTTATTAATAACAATAAATCACTTTGATTTTGATTTGTTTAAAAAAAAATTTGATAAAATCAACCTTAAGTTTTAACCTAATGAGATAAAAGATATACTTTATCATATCTTTAAAGAAATATTCCTAGAAATATATTCAGATTGAAGATCCAATACTTTAATAATTGCTAGTAGTAATGACAAGAAAACAATATTTCTTTATATCAACTTTTGATCTTTGACTTAAAAATATTATCAAAGTTGTAGTATTTACTAAACTCATTTGTAATAAACTTCCAATAAATTTACAAAAAAATTATAGATAATATTGCAAATAAAAGATCATTTTCCTTATGAATATTTAGAACTCTTAAACTTATCGAAGAAACTAAAAAGTATGTACAAATAAATAAAATATTATTTCCAAAAGATGGAACTGTTTTTGATTTCATGCTCCATCTTTTTCATGATAAGGCAGAAGTAAAAGATAATTCTATTTTGAATATTTTGAAAAAAAAAATATTAATCAAAGATAGAAAAATATCAGAAAAAAATAAAATCAATGCTGTAATAATCAAATCTGAAGTAGAATATATAGAAAAATTACTTAAAGAATATCAAATTGAAAGTTTTGAGATTTTATATTTTTTACCTACACTTCCAAATATATTTTCTCTAACTATAAAGTAAAATCTTGATATCTTCTCTATAATCAGAAATACACTAATGAAAATGTATATGTAATCTGAAATAAGAAATTATATCAATATTATTATTATCAAGCAGATTAAGAAATATAAATAAGTACAAGAAAATCTTTATTAAAACTTACTTTAAATGTATTAGTCTTAAAACAGAAAAACAGTTTTTCACCTTCAAAAAAAATAAAGTAATCCAGAATCTCAAATTCAAATGACTACTTTATATAAAGTAATTTAATTTGTATATATACTTCTAAGAAAAATTTTATTCAGAATGAAGTATATAATACAATTCAGATTACATTTTCTTATATGGTAAAAAATAAATAAATATAAATTTTTAAATACAAAAAACTAAATGATAGATTATACTTTGATATGACACCTACTCTAGATTTTGATAAAATAATTATTAATATAATAGAACTTGAAAAAGAACCAATAAAATTAATCTCTTTGATAAATCATATATATGATAGTAAGATAATTATTTATAATAATATTGATTTCTTACCATATTCACCTAATATCAAATAACCAAAAAATAAATTCTTCAATCTTTTTTTAGGATTCAAGATTAAATTGGTATCTCAAATTAATTACAATCTTGTGAATTCAATTATATGGTATAGAAAATATCTAATATCACTGGTCGAAAATTGATAAAACATACACATATCGGGTATTCGATATGTGTATGTTTTATCAATTTTCGACCAGTGTATAATAAGAATAAAGTTCTTTTTACATATTTTCTCAAATAGTTAGTATTTTTAATTTAGTATTTAGCAATAATTCCAAGAACAATTTTTGTTTTACATTCATTGTCACAATGTGAGAAAAATATTATTATTAATTTTATTTGAAAAAATTTATTCAGTTCAGAACTTATATATTCAACATCTAATTTAAGTAAAATTTTAGAAAAATTTAATAATAGTATTCAAAGACATAAACTTATAATTATAAATGAAGTGAAAATGTTAAATGGAAAATAATATAAGTCAAATGATCACTTAAAATTTCTAATTATAGAAGATTACAGTTAGATCTATATATAATTATTATCTTGAAACTAAATTTTAATAGTGATTATAAGCAAATATAATATTACAAAAAAAAACCTATATATAATTACATCATATAAAAAATATATCACTAGTAATTATAAATTTTTATATATAACTTTTATTAAATTTATATTATTATATATAACTTTTATTAAATTTTATATTACATATAATCTTTTAATTCAATATTTTCATTCATTTCAAAATTTGAATTTAAAGTATTTACTTTAGTGATTTCAAATTTTCATTCATTTCATAATTAGAATTTAAATATCCATTTTAGTTATTTCAAAATTCATATCTATAGAAAAAATATTATTTAATTTTGTTTGTTTTTTATTTGCAAATTCTATTTTTTCAATAATTTGTATATATTTTTTAAACTTAATTAAATCTTCAAAACAAAAATCATCTGAATTTTGTTATTCAAAAAAACTTATTTATTTTTTTAAAGATACAAGACTTTTTTTAATACTAATAGTAGATGTTTCTTATATTTCTTTACTGTTAGATTCATTATTAATATTTTGTGATGCAGAATTATTTTCTTCTAATATTATTTCAATTATTTGATTATCTGTTAATGGTTCTTCAGTAGTTATATTATTGTTATCAAATTCTAGTGAAATATTTATATCTAATAAAAGATTATCAATTTTATTTTGATTTCATAAATATTTATCTTGTATATTATTTTTAGTATTATTAATTTCTTCTTCATTTATATCTGATAAAATACTATTTTGATCTAACAATTTGTAATTGTTAATTGTATTACTTTTTTCTAAACTTCTTTAATAAAATCAATTATTTCTTTGACATTTAATTTGCTAAAATAATAATTAATAAAATAATTAAAATAATTAAAAATAATTAAAAATAATTATTATTCTTATATTTATTAAATAAATAAATTACAATTTA